GACTACGCGGTAGTGAGCTGTCCACTTGGCGATAACTTATGAGATCCTTAACTCCGCGTCTTGTCGCAGAGGAAATTACCGTCGCAGTACCGAGTTTGAAGTGATTTCACATAGAGTCTGAGCTGCACTTATTGGCTCGGATGCATTTCTCTTTAGAATGCCTAGCCGGTTATTTCATGCGGTTGTTCCGGTGGTATAAAACTGGGTTGACGATTTCTACACGATTCAAGTTCAACTTCAAGTGGGACCGGAATAGTAGGTGAATCCCGTCATTGTTCCACCTTGTAAAACGCCGATATCTTGCCTACCCACTTCGACTCCGAAAGTTGAACTTAATCCACAGATTATCATCGGCGCCTTGGTGATCTCATCTACACCCGACGGATCCTAAGAGGAGAACTTGGGAGTGAGGTGCAAAAGCACTTTCGACTCAACGTGGGTGGCTTGACACGAGGTCACAACTGGTTGTGCGATAGCCGAATACTTTACGTCCGTCCAGAGACTGCCCTATCAATTTGTGTAGTGATTGGTTGGAACAGACTTCCGAAAATCATTGCTGATACACCGGCAGTGAAAAGTTCCAAACGACTGCTTGACTGCCATTTGATGAGTACGACAGGGTTCTGCTACTCTTGCTGCATCGGCGACGATACCCAAAGGAATGTCTGTTCGCAACCACTTTCGTCCAACCTGCACTGAATCGGAATCTACAGAGTTAACAAGGGTCTTCTCTCCTGCTATACACCAATGAACCAAAATCCCAGTGTGAAATTTTTGCAAGGAAGGGCCAGATCAACACACACGGTGCACTCTATGGTTAACCAAACAATGCCCACATGCTCTGCACTAACAGTCTCCGCTGTGCCGGCCACGTGAAGTGAAGTACAAGTGGAAGAACAGAAACAAGGCTATCTGGGGCACTTATTGTAACCACTATGGCATGCGAATGGAAAGTTAAAAGCAATAGGCAACAACAGATAAGAGCAACGCTAAGAGGAGGATGGGAAGGTTTTAAACTGCAGATCAAGGGCGTCAAGTCGTTTTTCGAACTCTTTCACCATTGGTGCCATCAGTACCTCCGCGGACAGCGCATTCCAAGTGTTTATAACCCGGAGCAATAACGGAGTATCAGTTCCAACCGCGTCCCAACGGGGTTTATACAACTTCAGTGGATGTTCGCAAAGAATTGGCACCCGAGTGGCATGGAACAGTCCAGGTAAATCAGGCCGACCTGACCTGTTGTTATGCGCTAATTAATGACCATGTCACTCCGAAATTGCCTGTAGTGCATCGGGAATATGCTCAAATTGAGCACGTTCTCAGGGTACGACAGCATTTTTAATTGAAACACCATTTTCGTCCCCGACCGTAAGTCTCGTTCAACTAACATTTTGTCCCAGACTAGGCAGGAGGACAAGTCTGTACGCAGTATTCTAAGTGTGGCCGAACAAAGGCTGCAAATAATCTTGCGAACATTTCAGTTGTTATGATCTCGAATGCTCTGCGGATCATCCACAATGTTTTAAAACCTTTGCGAGCAGCTGCCATCCAATGTTCACTGGACTTAAAATCAGACGACAGCAAGACGCTTAGATCTTCATGGATTGACACCCGCGGCACCTCATTACCTCCAAGTAGATAGTGCTTCGGTGAGTCATTTGATCCTACTTGCAATACTGGGCAGCTGCCTCGAAATGGACCTAACCCATAGGCTATCTAGAACCCTTCGTAAGACCAATGGACCACTAGATTCATCTACTGTGGACCAGAACTTTAGGTGGCCCGCGAAAATTAGTGATGGTACTCCCAGCTGGTCAGGTAAGTCATTAACGAGCAAGGTGAATAACAGAGAGCCAAGGACCGACACTTGCGGAACACCGCTATGAACACACTGATTTACACAGACTGGAGCCCACACGAACCCACTACCCACTTCCGGTTAAAGATCCGAAGTTCATTTTAAGATTTTTGCGGAGATGCCATGGATCTGCAGCTTGTACAAAAGGCGAGAATGCGGAACCATGTTAAAAGCTTTGGAGAAGTCGCTGAACAATATGTTCAGGGATTTTCCTCGATCAACTGCTTCGGCCTAGTGTTGCGGGCAACTAACAAGTTGGTGAGATAAAAATAGTCCTTACGAAACTCGTGTTGGAAGGGGCAGCGCAACCCGAACACCCCTAATTGCTTTCAAGAACATCCCAGAAAAGTTTTTTCCAGGAGCTTGACCAAAGCACTTGTTAGGCTAACAGGTCTATAGTCCTCAGCAGAGTTTTTGCCACCTTTTTAAAAACTAGGCATACAGCGGTGTTTTTCCAGTCGTCAGGTAGAGAACAGCTGCACACTCGCGTACTTGGACAGCAAAGCTCATCTGCCAACTCACACACCAGTTAGGGGTGAATGACGTCTGCTCCTACAGCCTTAGTAGGATTTAATTCTCTTGGAAGCTGGGGCACCTTGGCGTCCGATATAGAAACCTTCTCCAGATAAGTGCTTGCAGCAACCTTCACCTTTAAACTGATGCGCGGCGAGTTGGACTGTCGAATAAATACGCCTTCGTACTGTTCCCCAACCAAAGAAGCCTTGTCAAGATCAGTGACAGAGCAGAGCCGTCAGGACCGAACAACACCGGGACGGATGGCCTCATGTTGCCTCGCCTGTTGTTGTAAGCAAAGAAGCGTTTTGGGTTTGATGAGGATGTACGGACCAGCTCGATTTCATGTTGTCACCGAGCACGTCACAGATACTGCCTGCGTTCATTTCGAGTTTCTTGGTACATTTTAAAGGTTAATGCCGAAGGAGCAGACACATAGACACGCCAGCATCTGGTCCGTCTCTTAAGAAGCTTTCGAGCCGCGCAATCAAACCAGGTTAGCCTGGCTGCAGTTTTATTCCTCACAGAAATTGGTATGTGAGATAGAGACAATTCAGCTAAATAGTACTTAAATGTGTTCCAGGCTGCCTGATTATTGTCGGTGTTCAAAATGACGCAAGGTGAGATGGCGGTCTTTGTTTTATTTGCTTGAAAATCGGCACGCCATAAGTTTGGTTTTCGGATGGTGCGGTCATTGGATACTCGGTTGAGAGCGTACTTGAACGACAGGCATGCATGGTCACTAGTACTTCGTTATCATCATCATCGACAATGCACGTTAGCCGAGGATGAGAAACACCTCAGCTAATGTGCCCTATTACCAAAAGGTAAGGCATTAAGCAATGTAGGCTTAACAGCTATAAAAAGCTAACCTAATCCTAATGTCACGTTTTTAATGGTTGCTGGAGGAGGAAGGTAAACGGAAGAAGAGAGATGATGAGACTCGCAACACAAACGCCACTGTGGTCGGCTCTTCGTCATGTCAGCTAGTGTATCCAAGCAGACGTTTTCAACATCCTTCGGTTCCCAGCCAGGCAGTCGGAAAACACCAACCGACGCCAACTTCGAAGTGAGGGATTTCCTTCCTCTTGACCAAGTCATCGCTTGCCCTACCCTCCTCTTCGTCCGTCCACACCCCCGGTACGCAAATAACTCACCTCGCGGGAGTCAGTGGGCTGGCATGCGCAACATGTGACCCAGCCATCCGAACCTGGTGCGGGATATAGCGGTGCCGAACGGTTCACTCCCTCTTCCTGCACCAAATGCGCGACGCCGAACAGGCTCATTACGCGGTGCTCCCACCAGACATAAGCACTAGCACCTAAAGTTGCATCATATTCAATGTCTGACAAAGTCCATTGACTTGATGAAGACCAGATCCAAGAGTGACGGCATTTAACCCACCGTGAATTTGTACTTGTATTGTAGACTCGTGCTGTAGGTATCCGACTGAGGCACACAGTAGTTATCATTGGTGCCATTAAAATGCTCGCACCCCTCTTTAACAACTGCTTGTTAACATCGCCATGCTGCACGGGAAATTCGACTGCATTTGCCGCTCCAACACTACGAAATAATTAATCGTAGCACAAAGATTGGGTATATTTTACCTGAAGTAATTTGGTTTTGCTCAACATGTGCACGAAATTTTCCATTATCCCACTCTGAAGTACACCAACTTCTCTCGGAAGTGCGATGATTACCTTTGTTTTGCGCTGCTTTACCCCGGCTACTTACAAGTATCCGCTGCTTCAGCGTAGGTACGTGGATGTGGCGTTAGCTTGATCATGACGTGATTGATTTCATGGAGTTGTAGAGAGCAGAAAGGAAGACCCTTGTCATCTCCATCGATTCCGAATCATCTGGGGTTTGATGCGGGTTGCTGCTTCAGGACGCTCTTCGAGGGTTCACCACAGTTGCAGGGATGGCAGCAATATCTCAGCATTCTCGGCGAATGGTTGTCTAGCAGTCGCTTGAAACTTTTCTTTGATGGCGCGTCCCCAATCTCCTCCGGTAGGCCGTTCCAGTCATTTACCACTCTAGTAAATGGGTTTACATCCGTACGAATTCTTCTACTTTTTCTTTGTTTTCCATATGTGACCTCGTGTTAAACAGCCGGCGTTGGGTCGGAAATACTGTGGTGCATCGAGTCGCAGAGAAATTGTCCCGTTATCTATACCGGGCCAGGCCTTACAATTGTGCCTGTGTGAATACTCCCGGTATTGGATATGTGCCAGGTCATTTGGATCCATTAGCTATGTATGGTGTCTCATCTATTGATCCATGGTTGTAGGGTAGAGCTGCGTAATGTAAATTTTGATGAACATTACTAAGGTAGCAGTTTGTTTCAGTTTTACCGAAGGGACAGCTTTTCAATTACATATACTTAACTCGAAATTCAGTAAGAATTGATTTTGGAAAGTTATCTCAACTTGAGTTTCACTTGCTCTGGTTGAGTGAGGCGACTGCTTTTTTAATGTGAAACTATTTCTTGCATTTGTTTCTTAGTGGTTACTGCGTCTTATTTTTAAATCGGATGGGCGCGTATGATCTGTTTCTGAGTACTATCTAGATTACTTACGTAATCCGGGTTTTCGTTTGTCAGGACAGTGCTTGGCCGAGTCCACAGATGAGACAACTCTTGGATCTTTGCATTCTGCGACCGAAGCCCGAGCCCACAGAAACAAAGTCGTTCCCGGCATTTCCTAAGGGGGAGGAGATCGGTGCCTCGCTGGATCATCTGGAAAATGGCCCACAGGATCCAAAGGCGTGGTGTACTTCCGACGTTTCATTCAAAACCGAGCAAGACGCCTCTGGGAACTCGTTGGACCAGCATTGCGCACCGACGGTCGAGGAAGTACGGGTACCTACTAGTTCTAAACGAGGTATTAGTCAACAGTTCACACGCGTACATGTCTATTACTACATGTAGATTGAGACTTGCTCTACTATTGTACGATTTTCGGGTATCACAGAGTACGAATGAAGGCAATACGACATCCGCAATGTGCCGGAGCACCACACCGACGCTTTGATGCCACGAGTTTATAATGTAGCCGTCCGTACAACCCTCTTATACGGCTGTGAAACCTGGCTTATCAGGTCGACAGACATTAACAGGTTCGTCATGTTCGACCATCGCTGCCTTCGCAGCTTAGCTCAAGTCTGATGGAAGCACCGCGTGAGCAATGAGCGTGTTCGACGTCGCGTATTTGGTGCAGAAAGAGCTTGTGAACCGCTCAACACCATTTTATCACCAATCAGGCTCCGATGGCTGAGCCACGTGTTGCGCATGCCAGTGCACTGACTCCTGCGACGTGCATTGTTTGCGTGCCGAGAGTGCGGTTGAAAGAGGAGGAGGGGAGGCCAAGAGATGACTTGGTCGAGAGAAGTGAAAACTCTCACTTCGAAGTTGGCGTCCGCTGGTGCATTCCGACTGCCCGGCTGAGGTCGTAAGGATGATGAACACTTTTGGTTGGACACACTTACTGATATGACTAGGAGCCGGCCCCAGTTGCGTTCGTGTTATGAGTTTCTTTGTCCATCCCCGTCCATTTTATATTCCCCTTCCAATTCCGATCTCATACGAATTACATAATATAATATTTAATTTTACATGACCTGCTTTTGAAATATTTGTACCGTAATCGTTTTGTTTCTTACCTTTTTGCATTACAGAAAAGTTAGCTGTGGTGTGTTTTTCACCCAAAATGTATTGATGATGATAATTATGATGCTGGTGTTGCCATGAGACCACCAACACTGGTGCGGACTATGCATAGTGCGAGGTCTCTCTTCTCTGCGCAGTTTCGTATCGGTGCCCTTTGTATTTCAAGGCAGATACGGTATCCTTTCAGCTACCGGTTGAAAGCAATGAAACGAAAATATTAATTGGTAGTAGAGTCTCGCAACCTGTTTGCCACTGAGGACAGCATACATCCATATCCGCGAACATTCCCACTTCGGCATGCTCATGTTCCTTGGATCCTATACGAACGTATGGCTCGTTGGACGGAAAGCTTTCAAGATCAGTTCAGCTGGTCCTCTGCTCCTCGACCTCTTCCTCCTCAAGGGATGCAGGACAAGCCACGGACGGTTAGTTTAGAACCTCCGTCGAAGGCCGAGGTCCAAAAGGCGATCACAGCCCTCAATCATTTTCGTGCCGCTGACTCAGATTCCCTCCCACCTGCACTATTTATGGATGGAGGTGAGGTCCTCTGCAAGCTACTGACCTCCCTATTCGAACGTATCTGGAAGGGAATGTTCTGGCTAATTAGAGCGAAGCGATCATAATGGCAATATACAAGAAGGGCAGTCGCACAGACTTTGCTAAGCACAGGGGATTAGCCTAACGCCAGTTGTGACAAAGTACTGGCCTCGATTCTCGTTCGTCGCCTCACTGTGGAACGGGCATCTCGGATTAAGGAAGAGCAGGCAGGTTTTCGATCAGGACGTGACTGTACAGACCATATCTTCACCTTGCGGCAAGTGGTAAAGCAGCGCCACGCATAACGCAGACCGACAATAACTGTGTTCCTCGGTTTCAAGAGTGCGTTCGATTAAGTGGATCAATCGATCGACTCTGTTCGAAATACTTGCGCGGAAAGGTGTTCCCACGAAATACGTGAACATTCTACGTGCTCTATACTCGAACACTACAGGCCGTGTCAGGGTCTGCGGTAACCTGTTGGATAGTTTTCCGACTACAAGTGGCATTCCTCAAAGTTGCCCGATTTCCCCATTTTGTTCAATTTCGTCGTGGATTCTATCATGGAATGTTCGCTTGTGGAATCTCACGATGTAGGCGTTGAGGTCCTGCCTGGTGAAAGATTAGTTGATCTTGTTTATGCTTGTCTTGCTTTTCGACGATGTTGCTGCTGCACAAGCAACCCTGAATAGCCTATCTAGCGTGATCCCATTATTTGGTATGCACTTCGCACCTTCAAAGTGCAGTGTTGCTGCAGGATCACCAGCCATTTTATGACCCCTTGATCCTTGCTAACTAAGAACTCAAGGTGGTTGATCAATTCACTTATCTTGCTAACTGCATCAGCAACGATGGGCGCATAGAAACTGACGTCAGCTCACGCATTACAAAAGCCAGAGCTATCTTCTTCAACCTGCGGCATCTTTGACGACGGAAGGGAGTTTCCCTCCATCTGAAACGCCGTGTATACAAGCCCACAGTGAGGAGCGTTCTGCTCTATGGGAGTGCGACTTGGCCCCTTCGGTCTGAAGATCTGAGGCGCCTTCAAGTCTTTGATCATCGTTGTTTGCGAAGCATTGCTGGTGTCAGATGGCACCAGCGTGTCCACAACGCTGATGTGCGTAGGCGAGTACTAGGTGGTGATGATCATGCTAGCTCCCCAGAACAACAGATAGCACTGAATAAGTTACGCTGGCTCGGGCACGTGCTACGCATGCCTGGTCACCGCATACCTAGGGGGGCCTTGTTCAGTCTACCAGGTGTAGGGTGGCGCAAGGCTCGAGGTGGACAGAAGTTGACTTTGCAGCGGGAAATGAAGTCACTAACGACCAAACTGGGTGCCGTTGGTCCGTCTCGCCTTCCGGGTTAGAGTCCACGTGACTCACCTTGTGCTTGGCTCGAGACTTTGCAGGACATGGCTCGCAACCGACACCAGTGACGCGTCTGCCGCCATCTCTTAATCGGACTGCCTGTTTAAAGTATGTTTGGTGCTGAGTTATCTGCGGGGTAATGGCTGATTATGACGCGGGCCAGTGAAAGCCGCAAGGAAGCTTTGTCGATGATGCCGCCTTATCTTTGTACGATAGCTAGCTGTTTGTGACGGTATGTTGACTACACAAGGTGTAGGCGCCTTGAAGCTAGATGTTTTCTTAGTGTATTAGGTTTCCAACTTAGTCCTTCCCTCTCCCTCTTAGGATTTTTTTCAATTGTCCTCATGCTTCTATGGCAGCAAAGTATGAGTTCAAATGGCTGACGTACTGTTGTATTTTTTGTTGTTGTTGTTGTTTATACCAACAGTACCTGCCAGGTCTGAATTTGTTTCCTTATCCTCTGTGCATGTCAATATTCCCATTAGGTCGAGTTATTTTCGTGAGGGATGGAGTAGGACGTGAACAGGTGGAGCGAGCTGTAGCAAACCTCAGCACAGTAACTCACTGAACAGACCAATGTCGTTTGGAAGCTATCAAATATGGAATTAGGGTATGGAACACTGAAACGGAATATCCTTCTGGTTACCAAAGGCTACACTTCTTAGAAGACTGACCGATTCCTTCGGAATGGACTATGGCGTATAGGCCATGATCCTTACCGAACAACGCAGCAGAAGGATTGTGCGATGCACTTAATAGTAAGAAACCAAGATATCCTGAGCATTTCTTGGTTGAGTTTCGTCAGAGCAGCATTAGCGATACTCAGTTGGATATGAAATGTCTGTATAAGTTAACGAGACCGCCCATACACCGGACACATTTGTACAAATAAGACTTTGGCTATAGAATTGAAGACTGGTAGCTCAGGTTGTTCAGATGGCGGTTGAACTGTTCGCTGAGTTTAGCAATTTTGTTACAAATGTTTCGTCACCAATTGAGGTGACATCATCAGCGCGTAGTTGAGTTCGTAGAGGAGCCTCGGTGAGAGTGCGCTGCACATGGTGTGCGTGCGTGTTTATACCGTCGTGGTTGCCCGTGAAAACGAGCACTCCTATTGGTTGGGACTTCGATCCGCGTTCAGCTTGGTTGATGGGTACGTGACCTTTGACTTTGACCCCTTGTGCTTCGTGGCCTTTGTCTGTCTGTTCTTGTGAGCGAGTCTGTCGTCAGTCCTGATTATCTAGTTACACGTTCCACAGGATTCAATCGATCGAGTTGGCGGTCGTTCGCCAATAGTATTGCCTATACTGCGTCCAGTTCGATGTGTCGATTGATTGAAATCTTTGTAAAGTACCTGGCTTGCGTTTTCTGTACTTCCATTTGCTAGGATCTTTACATTCTCTAAATCGAAATGGTGGCGTTCTTGGTCTTCATTCCCAGAAACCAATGAGTGAGGATCACATCTTCTGACGGTTGCCTTGTATTCAGTGATTCGTGTACAAAGCTTTCTTCCAGTTTGTCCGACGTAACTTTTATCGCAGTCGCTGCATTTTATCTGGCATATGGCATCGCACTGGTCGGCTTGATTGACTTTTCCTCTAGGGTTTGAGATCAATTTCCTTAGGGTAGCACTTGGCTTGTGAGCCACGGAGATTCCATGTGACTGCAACAATCTTCTTGTTAGTTCGAAGATATTCTTGATGTAAGGGAGCACTATATGTTTACTTGCTTGCTCATGTGATTGCTGCTGCTGTTGCTGAGTCATTCGTTTCCTTAAGCTTCTTCTGATGAAATTTCTCGGATAACCGTTGTTTCTAAACACTCGATATAGTTGATTTTCTTCAGGTTTCAGCGATTCGCCTGTGTTGCAGTGCGTTCCTGCTATTTTGACCAGGGTTGGAATGCAGCTCATTTTTGTGATTCATAGGGTGGTTGCTGTAATAGTATCATATCCGGTCTTCTGATATACGCATGCTTGCAGTCATCCGTCGGTATTCTTCTTAGTGACCAGTACACCCAAACATGGTAACTTGTTATCCCCTCTAAATCACTCGTGGATTTGCTCTCCTTGAATGTGCTGTTGAGTCGGCCGGTGGCCGAGTGGTCGGCGCGTTTGCTTTCCAACCATAAGGTCACCGGTTCGAATCCGCGTAGGGGTGGGCGTCCTCGCGGTATACTCAGCCCGCGCGCGACTGGTGGTGGTTGCGCGTTTGCGAAGCGCCGTTACGGCGTATAAGCTGACACATTTCATTTCATTTCAATGTGCTGTTGAGCAAGTCGTGCATGGCCTGTACTCGGTTCCGTTTTA